CAGTAAAGGTGCCTGTGAGAAGGACCAAATTTTCTCCTTAAAAGGGCTTTGAGCGCTGGCCGGTTTGGGTCAGTGGTTAGAGCGTCAGCCCAGGAACCAATGAGTCACAGGTTTGATTCCAGTCAAGGGCATGTACCTCGGTTGCAGTTCATCCCCAGCCCTGGTCGGGTCGTGTGGGAGGCAACCAGTCAATGTGGCTCTATCACACAGATGTTTCTGTCTCTCCCTCTCCCTTCCTCCCACTCTAGCTGACAATAAGTAGAAAAATATCCTCGGGTGAAGAATAAAAGGGGGGGGGGGGCTTTGAATTTTCTCAACACTAGGAACAAGTGCTTGGCACATAAAGCATACATAGATGATTTGGATTGAAACTTCCTCAGGTATTTGTTACCACTAGTGACCTTAATCGCAGAGAAAAGCCTTTTAAACCCTGACTGGGGGTAAAACTGCATGCAGATGGTCCTGCCAGTTTGGGCTAATGCAAAACATATCCCTACCTTACCAAGCATTTGAATAAGTTGACCTGTTGGATGGAGTTCTTTTGTGTTGTCTACTTAAATAATAGGGAATGTCTGTCAAGCATGGTGATGTTAGATTTAGCAGAGTGATAAACTTTTTTTTCTTTTTCAAAAATTATCTAATATAGTTAGCTACAGGACATTCTTCATGTCTCACAATAAAATCCCATCATTGCATAGCTGTTCTCAACCTTGACTGTATATTTGAACCCCCAGGGTGCTTTCAAATATACTGATTCCTGAGTCCCCAAGAGATGCTGACTTCGTTGGTCTGGGTGAGACCTGAGGTTCAGTGTGCTATAGGACTCCTCAAGTGATTCTCACATGCAGCCAGTTTAGAGAGCCACTGTCACAGAGGAAGGCCCTTATTTTCCAGTTTATCAATGTTCATGTATCCAGTGAGTCCAGTACCTGTGTCACATTGTTAGTTATGTTAAAAATCCGAGTCACCCACTTGCTAGTTGTGTGCTCTTGAGTCATTAAATTCTATAAACCTGTTTCTTCTTCTCTGAAATAGGGACAATTATTACATGATTAGAGGGTCAATGTGGAGATTTAAATAAAATATATAAGGTGATCTGGACCATGGCTAGCACTCAACAAAATAGGAATTTTTGCGATGGTGCACCTGGCCCTACTTTGTACTTTTAGAAGTGGAACTTGATCTCCTGAGTCTGGTGGTGGTGTTACCATATGGGCTTTGAATAGAAATTCTCTACTGAGCTGGTGCTACTGGGCCCACAGATCGTGCCTGAAATAAGGTCAGGAATGTTTTGAAGAAGCCCCTGTTGTTTTTAACTGTGGTAAGACAAAACAGAATGGAACAGTACCTACTTACTCCTCAGAGAGAGAAACCCAGTCCAGGAATCTGCTGAGAAGAAAACTGTGATAAAATATCAAAGGACATCCAAGGAGAAAGTAAACGGTATCATATTTGAGTATTAGATTGTTTCTCTTTTTTCTTTTAATTTTTATCTATTGGTTTTAGAAAGGGAGAGGAAGGAGAGAGATGGGGGAGGGGGTCTGTTGTTCCACTTATTTGTGCATTCACCAGTTGATTCTTGTAGGTGCCCTGACCAAGGATCAAATCTGCAACCTTGACACATTGGGATGATGCTCTAACCAACTAAGCTATCCCACTAGGGCGATTGCTTTTCTTTTTTTTAAAGGGAAAGGCATTGCTGCTAGAAGCTCATGAGAGCTCATAAAACAAATGGAAGTAAATGTAGGGAGAGAAAGACCTTTCAGGGTAATCTAGGAGCCAGCCATCTCTTGTATTGTTTTACTATTTCATTTTAAGCTAGTAATCAGAACTTTTAAAATAAATCCTTCTTTTTAAAACCTGTTTACTTAAATGTGGACATATGATGAATATATGTGTGTATGATGTGTATATATAAAAACATATATATACACATGTATGTGTGAGGTGTGTGCATATATATAATTTATACATTGAGATATAGATATATCTTATCATACATTTAAATATAAAACAGGATTAGGTCAATAACACTTAGAACCAAATGATTTCTACAAGGAATAACTGTGGAATCTCCAAAATGTGACAATAATCAAAAGAGTATAAATTCAAGTGAAATTACTCTCTTGGTTCTGGTTCTCAATCAAAATGCTGGCTCTACACCACTCTTGCAGAAACTACACTAGGAGGACTCATGCTCCAAAATTTGTGTGTTTTTTCTTAATTTGGCCACTCTGGCTGAGCTGAAAGTTTATTATTAAAATAGATAGAATAGTATAAAGTTTTTAAAAAATAATTAAGCTGCACATTGAATAATTTGAATATATTTTATGTATGTTGTTAACTGAGCTCTGGCCTAATTCTGGCCTAATTCTAAACCCTCTTCCATACGGTTGCCAGAATGGCCTTTAGAAAACAGAGATGCAGTTATATTGTTCCACTACCCAAAAATATTTTAACAATGTTAAATCAATGTTCTTAACTTGGCATTCAAATCTGGCCCCCGCAAATCTATCCCCAAACTGCTCTCTGGTTTTAACTTTTCCTGTGATGCCCATCTCCACATTTGTTCCTTCTGTCCCTTCTGAAAGACCCTTTCCTCTTTATAGCTGCCTTTCAAAATCTTATGCATTATTTACACCCCAACTCAAAAGATACCTTCTATATAGGGTGCCCTCAGTCTTCATCCCAACACCACTCTCACCTTAATTTGACTTCCTCCTCACTCATTTTATTTCTTTTTTTTTTTTTTTCATCCTCACCAGAGGACATTTTTCCATTTTTTGCACAGATAGAGTGGGAGGGAGAGAGAGGAAGAGAGAGAAACATCGACGTGAAAGGGACACATCAAGTGGCTGCCACCCGCATGACCAACCAGGGCCGGGGACAAACTGCAACTGAGGTACATGCCCTTAGCGGGAACCAAACCCGGGTCTCCCCGGACCGCAGGCCGACTCTCTAACCACTGAGCCAAACCGGCCAGGGCCTCATTTTATTTCTTTTACTCCGTGTTTCCTAGAGATTCATATTGTTGCTACAGCATTAATTACACTTTCCCTTGTGTTAACAAATGTTTGGGAAGTAATACTTACCTAAGGGAAAGTAATATAGATATTTGAGCCAAACTAGACCTGAGTAAAAACTCTGACTCTTAGGCAAGTCACTTTATTTTTCTGAATTTCAGCTTCCTCATCAGTAAATTGAAGAAAATACTACCAAATTTGCATAAATTGGTAGGGGATAGTGTATGAGAATATGCAGTAAAGATCTCTGATAAAGGGAAGCTATTATTACAACACTGGTTCAGATCATCTTCCCAACTAATTCATCAACAGTACCTTGCAGCATCTCCAAAGTGTTTTCTGAATTGAATGGAATCAGCCCAAATTGATGGCATCTGCTGCCTGAATCTCACTGAGCTATTAGTTTGTCAACATCTGTTTTGACTTTTAGAAATAATATCCATTTTTAGGCATCAGCAGCATTTTCCTGTGGTATTTCAATATGTCCCAATCTTGAAATGATTATAATTTGTGCTTGATTGAATCCAAGTCAGCAATGCCATGGAGAACAGCCCAGCCCATGCACACATCTACTTTACGTAGGCCCAAGAGAATATAGCCCTCTGTATGAAGAGCCTGAACACCAAGGAACACTGTGTCAGCTTTTAATGACATTGCCCTTTGCTCAGATGTCTAAGTAGTGGTAATAATGGAGTTTAAAAAGCTCTTAATTATCCAGAATACTGCAAGACAGGAAAAGTACAGAAAGCTTCGTTTTCTTTAATGTCTAGATTGTTGGTAACTACACAGGATGCACTAAGGATGTGTTTCTAATAACAACTATTGACTCTCTTTTCTTGAATCTCAATTTCTTTATAAATTTGTCCACCAAAAGAATCCACCATTTTCTCCAGTAGTTTCTAATTTATTTCCATGGATTGCAGAATTTTCTAAACCACGATTTTTCATGAATCCTCTGAGTCTCCGTTTCAGCACCAAGGACAGGGCCTCACAACTAACTGCCCATCCATCCTATTTAATTGACAAGAAATGTAATAAATGTTTTAAAACTTTTTGTTCAAATGTTTTTGGTATGATATACAAAGACTCACTAGCCTATTGCAGCTCTCAATGTAGAACTAAGGCAGGATTGAGCAAAATAGACAAGTTAATAATTATAACACTACATGACAAGTACTATTACAGAGTTATATACAAGTCACATGAGAATCAGGGGAGGGAATGATTGACTGGTAAAGGAAGGCTTTACAAAGGAGTTGATGTTTGATCTGGGTACTGAGTATTGAGGGAAGTTTGCAATACAGAGAAGAAGTACCACGAAGATTACACAGTTTATTCAGGGATTTTAAGAATTGTGGTTTGACGTAGCTGAAAAGTGGGAAATTAAGGTTAGAGTTAAGAAATAGACTAGGTCAGCCCTGTCCGATGTGGCTTGGTGCTTAGAGCATCAGCCTGTGCACCAAAGGGTCATGGGTATGATTCCCAGTCAAGGTCACATACCTGGGTTGTAGGTTTGATCCCCAGAATGCTTGTGATATGTCTCTCTCACATATAACTTCTCTCTCTCTCTCTCTCTCTCTCTCTCTCTCTCTCTCTCTCTCTGTCTCACTACCCTTCCACTCTTTAAAAAATCCTCAGATGAGGATTAATAAAAAAGAAAAGAAATAGACTAGGTTAGATTACTTATATGTCAAGATAAGGGGTTTACAATTTATCCTAGAAAAACTGAGAGCCATTGGAGTGTTTTGAGAAGGGACATGACCTGCTTAGACTTGTGTTTTAGTAAGTTTGTACATCAGGATATACTGAAAAAAAGAAATGAGAGGGCAGAAGGGCACCCAAGGATGACATTTATTCATATGACCCTGGGAATGAGGGGATGCTCCATCATAAACAAGTTCAGACAGGAAGAATTTACTTGGACCACCTCTCATTAACTGTTCACCAGTGTTTCACATGTGAACTATGTCTCTCCAGATTCTTCCAAGAAGATAAAGGATGTCTTGGCTGAATTTAATAAGAGTGGAAGTCTCAAACAGTATGACTCACATGAGGTAAGGACATTTCCATTTCAAGCCTTTAAAACCTCCATATCCCAGCTTTTCCATGATTTGTTCTCCTTTTGGAAGATTAGCTCCCCTTGGAGAACTCATTTCTCAATGTATTTTCTCCTGTCTCAAGTGAGCCATTGGTGCTACCTGGAATTACACATTTCCCAGGTCCATTCACACTCTCACTATCTTAAAAGACCACATCACACTTTTTCTATTCTCAAATCTCTTACTCTTCCCTCCTCATTTTCAGTTAACCACTGTGTTTTCTAGTTCCTGAGAAAATGGAAACAGAAGAGATCTTCCACAAGATCTTCACTCACCTATGTACCTTTTTCCTGTAACTAGGAATGAAATTATGCTCTTAATTCTAGCCCCTTCACCTGTGCACTTGCTCCTATCCTCCTTTGGTCTACTGACAGGTATTGCTTCAGCAACACTTAGCTATCTATCTGTCTATCTACCTATCATCTATCTATCTATCTATCTATCTATCTATCTATCTATCTATCTATCTACCTACCTATGTATCTATCATCTATCTTTCTATTTCTATATCTATATTTATCTCCTTCACATCAATTTTCTCCTATATTTGGGAAAGTTCTTAGTAACATCCTTTTTAAAAAATTTTTTCAATTTTTATTAATTTATTTTTGTTACAGATGTTTCTCCTTTTCCCCCATTGACACCCTCCTCCCCATCCCACCCCCCACCCTCCCACAGCATTGTTGTCTATGTCCATTGGTTACACATACATGCATATAAGTTCTTTGGTTTATCTCCCCTACCCCCCTCCTCTCAGGTTTGTCAGTCTGAATTATACTCCTTTCTATGTCTCTGGGTCTATTTTTCATCAGCTTATTTTGTTCATTATATTCCACAAATAAGTGAGATCATGTGGTATTTGTCTTTCTCTGATTGGCTTATTCACTTAGCATAATGCTTTCCAGGTCCCTCCATGTCATCTCAAAGGATAAGAGATCTTTCTTTCTTACAGCTGCATAGTGTTCCATTGTGTATATGTACCACAGCTTTTTTTTTTTTTTCATCCTCACCCAAGGAAATTTTTCCATTTTTTGTTCAGGTACAGTGGGAGGGAGAGAGAGGAACAGAGAGAGAGAGAGAGAGAAACATCGATGTGAAAGGGACACATCGAGTGGCTGCCACCCACACAACCGACCAGGGCCGGGGACAAACTGCAACCGAGGTACGCACCCTTAGCGGGAACCGAACCCGGGTCTCTCAGGACCGCAGGCCGACGCTCTAACCGCTGAGCCAAAGCGGCCAGGGCTGTACCACAGCTTTTATATCCACTCATGTATTGATGGACACTTGGGCTGTTTCCAGATCTTAGCAATTGTAAATATTGCTGCTATGAACATAGGGGTACATATATTCTTTCTGATTGGTGTTTCAGACTTCTTAGGGTATATTCCTAGAAGTGGGATCACAGGGTCAAATGGCAGATCAATATTTAATGTTTTGAGGAAACATAGTGTTTTCCATAGTGGCTGCACCAGTCTGTATTCCCACCAGCAGTGTACTAGAGACCCCTTTTCTCCACACCCTTGCCAGCACTTCTTGTCTGATGATTTGTTGATGGCAGCCATTCTGGCAGGCGTGAGGTGATACCTCATAGTTGTTATAATTTGCATCTGTCTGATGATTAGTGACATTGAGTATTTTTTCATATGTCTCTTGGTCATTTGTATGTCCTTTTTGGAGAGGTGTTTATTTAGTTCCTCTGCCCATTTTTTTAATTGGATTCTTTGTCTTCCTTTCGTTGAGTTGTATGTACACTCTATATGTTTTGGAAATTAATCCCTTATCTGATGTGTCGTTGGCAATTATGCTCTCCCATATAGTGGGTTCCCTTTCCATTTTGATGGTTGTTTCTTTTGCTGTGCAGAAGCTTTTGAGTTAGATGTAGTCCCATGTGTTCATTTTCTCCTTTGTTTCTGTTGCCTTAGGTGATGTATCAGTGAAAATTTTGCTGCATATGATGTCTGAAATTTTGTTGCCTACATTTTCTTCTAGGATTTTTATGAATTCACAAATCACATTTAATTCTTTTATCTATTTCAAGTTTATTCTTGTGTATGGTGTCAGATGGTGGTCTACTTTCATTTTTTTGCATGTAGCTGTCCAGTTTTCCCAACACCATTTATTAATGGTGCTCTTGCCACCTTTGTCAAATATTAATTGAGCATAATGTCTTGGGTCAATTTTGGGTTCTCTGTTCTGTTCCACTGTTCTATATGCCCATTCTTGTGCCAGTGCCAGGCTTTTGTTTTTTCTTACAATGGCTTTGTAGTAGAACCTGGTATCCGGTATTGTGATGCCTCCTACTTTGTCCTTCTTTTTCAAGATTGCTGTAGCTATTTGGGGTCTTTTTTGGTTCCATATAAACTTTTGAAGTACTTGTTCTAGTTCTGTGAAATAAGTCATTGGTATTTTGATGAGGATTGCATTGAATCTATAGATTGCTTTGGGTAGTATGGACATTTTAATGATGTTAATTCTTCCAATCCATGAACAAGGTATATGCTTCCACTTTTTTATATCTTCCTCTATTTCTTTTTTCAATGTCCTATAGTTTTCTGCAAATAGATCCTTTACTTCTTTGGTTAAGTTTATCCTAGGTATCTTAATTTTTTTGCCACAATGATAAATGGGATTTTTTTTAAGTTTCTCTTTCTGCGAGTTCATTATTGGTGTATAAGAATGCCATTGATTTCTTGACATTAATTTTATATCCTGCCTCTGCCAAATTTATTTATTAAATCTAGTAGATTTTTGATGGAGTCTTTTTAAATTTTTTTATCCTCACCCGAGGAAATTTTTCCATTTTTTCTTCAGACAGAGTGGGAGGGAGAGAGAAGAAGAGAGAGAGGGAGAGAGAAACATCGACGTGAAAGGGACACACTGAGGGGCTGCCAACCACACGACCCAACCAGGGCCAGCGACAAACTGCAACTGAGGTATGTGCCCTTAGCAGGAACCAAACCCAGGTCTCTCTGGACCGCAGGCCAATGCTCTAACTGCTGAGCCAAACTGGCCAGGGCTTTTGATGGAGTCTTTAGGGTTTTCTATGTGCAATATCATGTCATCTGCAAATAATGACAGTTTCGCTTCCTCCTTTCCAATGTGGATCCCTTTTATTTTTTCTTCATGTCTAATTGCTATGGCTAAGACTTCCAACACTATGTTAAATATGAGTGGTGAAAATGAGTATCCCTGTCTTGTTCCTGTTCTTAAGGGAAATGCTTTTAGTTTTTGCCCACTGAGTATGATGTTGGCTTTAGGTTTTTTATATATGGCCTTTATTATGTCAAGATATGATCCCTCTATTCTCACATTGCTGAGCATTTCTATCAGAAATGGGTGCTGGATTTTGTCGAATTTTTTTCAGTGTCTATTGATATGATCATATGGTTTTTATCTTTCATTTTGTTTATGTGATGTATCACATTTATTGATTTTCAAATATTGTACCAGCCTTGCAACCCTGGGATGAATCCCACTTGGTCATGGTGAATAATTTTTTTTAATGTATTGCTGCATCCAATTTGCTAATATTTTGTTAAGGACTTTGGCATCTATGTTCATCAGGGATGTTGGTAGTTTTCTTTCTTTGTAGTATCTTTTTCTGGTTTTGGAATTAGAATTATGCTGGCCTCATAAAAAGAGTTTGGAAGTCTTCCTTCTTCTTGCATTTTTGGGAATAGTTTGTGGAGAATGAGTGTTAGTTCTCTGAATGTTTGGTAAAACTCCCCCGTGAAGCTGTCCAGGCCTGGGCTTTTGTTTGCTGGGAAAGTCTTGATTACATCTTCAATTTCTTTAGTTGTTTTGGTGTGTTCAAGTTTTCTATTTCTTCCTGGTTTAGTTTTGGGAGACTATGTGTTTCTAGAGATTTGTCCATTTCCCTTAGATTGTCCAATTTTTTGCCATATAATTATTCATAGTATTTGTTAACGACCCTTTGTATTTCTGTGGTGTCAGTTGTTACTTCTCTTCTTTCATTTCTGATTTTGTTTATTTGGGTCCTCTCTCTTTGTTTCTTGGTGAGTATAGCTAAGGGTCAATCAATTTTGTTTATCTTTTCAAAGAACCAGATCTTTGTTTTATTGATCTTTTGAATTGTTTTTGGTCTCTATGTTGTTTATTTCTGCTCTGATTTTTACTATTTCTTTCCTTCTATTTGCTCTAGGGGTTTCCTTTGGTTTGCTTTCTAGTTCTTTAACTTGTGGGGTTAGATAGTCTATTAGAAATTTTTCTTGTTTCTTGAGGTAGACCTGTAGTACTATGAACTTCCTTCTCAGAACTGCTTTTGCTGCATCCTATAGATTTTGTGTTGTTGTGTGTTCATTTTTATTAGTTTCCAGGAAGTTTTTCATTTCTTCCTTGATCTCCTTGATAACCCATTCATCGTTTAATAACATGCTATTTAGCCTCCATGTGTTCAAATGTCTTTGCATGTTTTTATTGTAATTGATTTCTAGTTTCATGCCATTGTGATCTGAGAAGATGCTTGATATAATCTCCATCTTCTTGAACTTGTAGAGACAGTTTGTGTCCTAACATGTCATCTATTTTTGAGAATGTACCATGTGCACTTGAGAAGAATGTAAATTCTGAAGTTTTAGGTTGTAATTCTCTGTAGATAGCTATTAAATCCATTTGATCTAGTGTATCATTTAGAGTCTTTGTTTCCTTGTTAATTTTTTGTCTAGAGGATCTATCCTGTAATGTCAGCAGGGTGTTGAAATCCCTTGCTGTGATTGTATTGTTGTCAATTTCTCCTTTGAAGTCCTCCAAAAGTTTTTTTTAACATATTTTGGTGCTCCTATATTGGGTGCATATATGTATACCAAGGTTATATCTTCCTGTTGGATAGATCCTTTGAATATTATGTAGTGGCCTTCTTTGTCTCTAGTTATGGACTTCATTTTGAAATCCATTTTATCAGATATGAGTATTGCTATCCCAGCTTTTTTCCT